GAAAGAGATTTATCCTGACCTTGGGCCAGGCAGGAAAACTCCAGCTAAAGTCCACCATGTTTTTGTGGATAGAGACTCTTGCAATGGACTAGAAACTCTCAGATTCAGATAGTCTTGGTGACTAGTGAGCCCCAGGGAATTAACTGCCTGTGTCTACCTCCCTAACATTAGTATTACATGGCTTTGAAATTTCTCTCTCTTTCCTTCCTTCCTTCCTTCCTTCCTTCCTTCCTTCCTTCCTTCCTTCCTTCCTCCCTCCCTCCCTCCCTCCTTCCCTCCCTCTTTTCCTTTCTTATTTATTTGTGGGAGAGAGGAGAGAGAGAGAGAGAGAGAGAGAGAGAGAGAGAGAGAGAGAGAGAGAGAGAGTGAGAGAGAGAGAAACTATAGAGGTCAAAGGCAAACTTGCAGGGATCCATTCCCTCCTTCTGTCATGTGGAAGGATTGAACTCAGCTAGTCAGGCATGCCTGTAAGTATCTCTGCCCATGGAGCCATCTCTCCAGACAGCCTTGCCCATGAGAACATGGGTTCTGGGGCTGAAACTCAGGCCTTCGTGCTTGCAAGGCAAGAGCTTTACTGCGTGCATGATCGCGTCCATCTGTCCCTTTAAAAAGCGCTAATGCAGCTGATGAAGACTTCCAGATATTCTCAGACCCACCTTACCTCTCACTCATGCTTGTGGAAATACACTCCTGGCTTGAGCCAGGGCTTTACAGCTATCCACATAGTTCATCTGGTTTAGGTTTATAATATTTCAACCAATGGAGGTGGTTTTTTTTTTAATATACCTTTTTAAATAACATTTTCTTGTTGTGAGAGGAACTTGTTCATTACAAGTTTATAAAGTGGAGACGAGCAGAAAGAACATTAGGATTTTTATGAAGCCACCCACTCAGTGCTGATCATTCTGAACACTTTGATGCTCTTCTCCCCAGAACCTCAATAAACAGCTTTCCAGTCACCCATAAATAGAGGCATTTCTGTACATGAATGACGCACAGAGGCCATTTTGTGACGTGTTTGTGTATCCAGTGTACAGGCTGTTCCTTCTAGCTGAGTCAGCCACAGAGCGGCTCCAGTGCTCTGTGAGAGTTGTTGATAAAACACTGTGTGGGGTGGATAAGCACAGACTCCTGCCACACAGCCCACCACCCACCCGCCAGAGGCTGCTGACTCATCAAACACTCCCTGGGTGGGGGTTGCCGGCCAGACAGGAATGCACAGAGCTGTACAGAGGCACTGCCCATGCTCTTCTGAAGGGCAGCACAAGGGGGTCCAGCTCTTTAAAACAGGACGGTCACCGTGAAGCCGGCAGAACGATGACCCTCAGTGTCAGAGTTCTCAGCTAACCAGGTTCGATGTTACACTGATTATTTGTGGATCCCAACCCCCCCCCCCCATTCACCACCCTAACTTCTTTCAGAAGTAATCATTTTCAGCTGCAGCTTTCAGGCATTTGTCTCCATTCTTTCTTATTTTCCAAAAAGAAACTGCAACGATTCTGCACGTCTTCGGCTAATTCCCTCAGCACTGTGGGGTGGAATTCACTCAGGTCTGAAGAACTGAGCTCTCGACAGGGGTATCCTGTTCTCTTCCTATCTCACCCTCACGTTCTTCACGACAATTGATCGACCCGTCCAGATCTGAAGTCTTTCACTTCCATAGAGAAGACAGAAACTGGGAGGTATAAGAAAGTTCTCTCTCTCTCTCTCTCTCTCTCTCTCTCTCTTTCCCTCCCTCCCTCCCTCTCCTCCTTTCTCTCCTTCTCCTCCCTGTCTCCCTCTCCTCTCCTCTCTCTGCTATCCATCAGTTTGGGAAACTGAGCCCCACCGCACAGTTCTGTCCAGTTTTGCACTATCCAACAAAATATTCTTTTGATGCTTCTATACACTGATTCTTTTCCCCCTCTTGGCTTCTGTTTTCCAGGTATGACTTTTAGTCTTTGGCAACAGTGTTTCTCTGAATGCACTGTCCTCCTCCCACCCCCCACTCTCCATGATCTTTTCTAATTTGATTCCATTGACCTGACCATCAGATGTTCTTATTCCTGTCCCTCTCCCTTTATATCAAGATCATTTTTAAGATTATTTATGTCCATATTTTCTTCAAGTCTTAAGCTATTTCTGCACTCATGGGTTCCAGCACTATCAACATTCCTATCCCTGGCTAGAATATTTGAAATTTCAGATGCCTGCCTCAGAACTCTCCACTTTCCTCTCAGCTATCACAGCATGGAACACCATAGGATAGGGCTTTCACATGCAATAAGATTGCTAGTTTCATGGTGGATGAAACAGAGTGTGGCTAAGTAGAAATGGAATTTGCTGGGAGCCCTCCACATTTAGCTCCACTAGAACCAGGCTGGCTCCAGGACTCCACTCAGCAGGGACTAATCTGCCTTCATGCCATATACCCAAGATTAGAAATCCGAAGGGAGACAGAGTCTGAATGGCCAAACTGAGTTCCGATATTTGTCCCTTGATCAGGGAAAAACAGGGAACCCTAATTTGCATGGAGACTAAGACTGCTTGTAATGGAAGAGAGATTATGTTCCTGGGATGAATTGGGATAAAATTACTCCTAGTGGAGAGGATATATGATAGACTATTATAGAACAAGAGACACCCACTACAACTACAACTCCTAGGGTTTCCTTCACTTCGTTTCCAATTTACTATTAAATTCTACCTTTTGGGTTAGAATTAAGTGTTGATTGTATTGCTTTTATTGATTTGTCTGCTTCTGGGAAAATGTGTTACTAGTGAAAGACAGCAGACAGAAGTTTATAATAGAGGAAGCTTTGTCAGAATGAGGCTTCCTGCAGGCACCTTACGAGGAGAAATCTCAGGTACCAGCAACCTCTACTCCTTTTCTAACAACAGTTACGAAACTCTATTGCCCTGAGCGTCAATAAACAAATGCATTTACCTCATGCTGACATATTGCGTAAGCAGCTGGAGAGATGGCTCAGTGGCTAAGAGCATGTACTTCTCTTGCAGACGACCTGGGTTTGGTTCCCCGCCCACATGCCCCATCACGCAGATCACAATTGCCTGTAACTCCAGTTCCAGGAGATCTGACTCTCCCTGATCCATGTGGCCACCAGCAGACACACAGTGCATATAAATTCATGTAGACACACGTACATGCACATAAATAAAACATAAGTCTTTTAAAAAATATCGAATCACTTTAAAAGCGTATTTTGGATTATGACATAGACCCTGAGGAAATTAACATTGTTCCTGAACTTTGTTATTTTTTTCTTCCTAAAATTACGACTTTCCTCTTGGAATGGTTAGCTGTCCCTTTAGTTCCCATCTGGTTGTATGGTCCTCATAGTTTTCCATCGTCTGGCATGTCTGACGTATTCACAACATTGATCTGATAGTTTTTCCTAGGCTCTTCCTTCTTCCCCAACATTTCAGAGTTCTCATTATCTTTCCCTTATTAAATATGTTTCCTCAAGACCTCATAAGCGACCTTTGACTCCTGCCAGAAACTTATGCTAAACTAGGATTGCCCAGCTCTGCATCCAGCCACTGTCTTCTCGTGACCACGTTCACTTGAATTGGGATGTCAACAAGAAGGATTTAGAATGTATACACAGTGGCACCTTGTATTTAAACTTCCTAGTTAGAAGATTGGAGATGAATGTGCTTCTCCAGGCCCAATCTCTTTTTTTTTTTTTTTTTTTTTTTTTTTGGCTTTTCGAGAAACAGGTTTCTCTCTGTAACAGCCTTAGCTGTCTTGGAACTCACTCTGTAGACCAGGCTGGCCTTGAACTCACAGAGATCGGACTGCCTTTGCCTCCCAAGTGCTGGAATTAAAGGTGTGTGCCACCACCACCTGGGCAGCCCAATCATTTGTTCCCATGTGAGGACGTAGATACATGGTGACTAACCTAGGCCAGGATGTGCTTTCTAAACAGCTCCAAACAGACATTATTCTAAATTGACCAGGTTAACTGCAGGTATCATCACCATGGATACGGTCCATAAAACACAGCATCCACATAGAATATCAATGCACACTTAACTATTGAAGGAATAAAGGGAATGATCAGACCATTGATTCAAAATCAAATGGGACTTTATGGGAACAGTGGTAGGAAGCATGGAATTAATGAAAGAATATGATATCAGGAAAGAAAAAATTACTTGATCAATTTTCCTATTGTTTAGCTGTTTTGCCTGCAAGTATGTCTGTGTACTATGTGAGTATTTGGTGCTGTAGAGGCCAGAAGATCCCCTCGAACTGGAGTTAAAACTGGTTGTAAGTCATCATGCCAATGCTGGGAATTGAACTCAGGCCCTCCAGAAAATTGCCAGTGTTCTTAACTGATGAGCCATCTCTCAAGGCCCAGATCTTACTAATGAGTTTTCTCAGACCATCTTGGAGCTCTGTTGCTTTATAAATCAGAATCACAGCAGAACTGCAAGAGCATTTTTTTTAAAGCTTTCTGATTTCTAGGTGCTATATTGAAAGTGAGGCAAAGACACAAATGTCATATGCAGGGGTCTTCAGTCCCATGAAAGCTAAACACAGTGCCAGGGTGAGTTGAGTCTCTGACATTGGGATTTGTCCCTGGAGTGACCTTTTACCTTCAAAGTCATCTTATGTGGACATCTGAGACTTGCTCATCATTTAGTTTGCATTTTTAGCCATCTACATTGAAGTTACAAGATCTGATCCTGGCCAAGCAGGAGACCACTGGAGGGGTCCCAAGGCTTTGGCACTTACTAGGCAAAGCAGCTTTCTAACTGCTAGGTGTGGTCAGATTTTTCTTTTGGGTTGCCAGCTCACAAACAACGACACAGAGACTTACTATTAATTATGAAAGCTGACCTTAGCTTGGGCTTTTCCCCAACTAGCTCTTATAACTTAAACTAACCTGTTTTTAATTAATCTATATTCTGCCACGTGGCTCGGTTTCCTCTCCTCTTTCCCATATGTCCAACTTCTTTAGTGTCTGGCTGGCATCTCTCAACCCCTGGCCCCAGATTCATCCCGAGTTCCTCTCTCTGCCTGGAAGTCCCACCTATTCTTTCCTGCCTAGCTATTGGCCATTCAGCTCTTTATTAAACCAATCACAGTGACATATCTTCACACAGTGTAAACAAATATTCTGCAACAGCCAGGCGAGGGGTAAACAGAAAGCTGAGGGTAAAATACAGTTTCAGACAGTACCAAGTGTCAATGTGGGGGGAATCTCTGATCCAGAGATTCAAGAACAACATCAGACTAGAAAAGACAGAAATAAAGATTTGCCATTTCTGCCATGAGCAGGGCTGGGACTTCAGTGCCCTCTTTTATGTGAATGACTGCTAGGTCATGGCTGGTTCTGCCTGGATTAAAGGCACCAGGTATTTTTCATAAGAACCCCTGTTTCCAAACCAAGAAGCAGTCTTCACTTTCTTTATCTGCAGCAAAGTAAAACTCAAGAGCCTCTGGAATCGCAGTGAGCAGTGCTCCCCAGAGCAGAAGCAGAAGGCAAAGGCATAGTCTGCATTAACGTATGCCCAGATCAGTAGCCATCTTTGACATTTTTAGAGGGTGGTAAGGGATAAAAATGTTGTGGGGGCTCACTTAAAAGTAGACTTAGTTCGACTGTGCACTTATTTTAAGGTGGCTTGACACTTGCTAGAAATTAGATCAAATGGCCAAAGAGAGACCAGGGCCTTGAACCCACCTTTTGTACCACTGTTTTCACAACAGAATTCTTTACTTCAACCATGAATAAGGCATGTTGGGAAAGATGTAGAGAAGGCCTGTGAAAAAGGTGTTTTTTGGTGGCGGGGGGTGGGGGGGAGTTATTGGGATAGTAATGGAGAATGGAACAAATGAACACATTGCCATACTACCTGACCCCAGTTAATATGTAAAATAGATAAAAGTTATTCCAAGAGGATGCATTCAATCTCCAGGCTACATTTCTACTTTTATCCATGCAGATAGACACGAACGAGAAGAATGGTGAAGAGGGACACTAAAACAGGAATGAGATCACTCCACCTTGTTGAGGAAAGGGGAGAGGAACGAATCGCTGTGCACTTCTAAAAGGGACATTGAAGAAAGAATGGCAAGCTCATTCTCCGTGCTCAGAGTGGATTTAAAGCTTATTCTCCATGCTCAGAGTGGAATTAAAGCTCATTCTCCACGCTCAGAGAGGAATTAAAGCTCATTCTCCATGCTCAGAGAGGAATGACCAAGGGAAAACAGACTGCAGCCAACCTGCAGAGGAGATGATGGAGCGGGGTTACAGACCCTTCTTCCCAGGGGCTGATCAATTAGAAGAGATGGACCTTTTCTAAGATGGCTCTCTTGCAGCTTCACCCATCCTCAACAGTGTCTGCACTACCCTCAGGCCTCAGTCACCCCTTTTCGCCAAACACACTTACAACCACACTCTACCTGGTGTGGTGGGAACAGACCCAGGGGACATCTTGGCGAGAATGACATGGGACCTTAAGATCATCCACTCTGTGATCCCTGACCTGCAGGAGAATAATGTTGATCGTGGCAGTATTTTACTCAGCCACCAGTAAATGATGTGACACCCACGGGACAGAGGGGAAGAAGCAGTTTTGACAGAAGGGGTGGCTGAGCTCTGACATCATCTCCAGTGGCCCTGCGAGAGCTTTAGAGGCTGGGAGAGCCACAATCATCCTTCTAAAGAACTATAGTGGTTTGATCTTTTCACTCTGTGTGGTGGTGTGAACAAGAATGGCCCCCCGTAGACTCATGTATTTGAATGCTTAATCACCAGAGAGTGGCACTGTTTGGAAGGATTAAAAAGAATTAGGAGGTGTGGCCTTGCTGGAGGAAGTACATCATAAGGGGTGGGCTTTGAGGTTTCAGGTGCCCAAGCCAAGCCCAGTCTCTCTCTCTCTCCCTGTTGCCTTCAGATCCGGGTACAGAACTCGCAGCTACCATGTCTACCTGCACTCTGCCATGCTTCTGCCAGGAGCATCGTGGACTGAACCTCTGGAACTGTAAGCAAGCCCCAGTTAAATGCTTTCTTTTATAAGCGCTGCCGTGGTCATGGTGTCTCTTCAAAGCAATAGAACACTGACTAAGAGATTCTGTTAGGGTCCATTCCATATGGGGACAGCAAGAGCTTCTTTATTGTTTTCTGTATGGACTATTCCACCTAGAGTGTAGTAGGGAGCGTTTCACTGAATGCAGCTAGCGTGCCAGTCAGCTTCCTTTCTCGAACCACTACCTGAGATGATCTAAAGGCAAAGGACACTTTGACTCATTTTTCTGGAGCTTTCCATCCAAGGCTGATTGGTACTGCTGGCTAGGCAGCACATGGCAAAACTACTATTTACCTCACAGCTGGGATGTAAAGGAGAGACAGACAGGTTTGGAGTCCTGTCGTCCCCTGCAATGGTATGCCTTATCATGACCTAAGTCATCCCACTAGGTTCCATCCTTGAAAGCTCCACCATTTCCTAGTAGCTCCTCAGGCTAAGGCCAAACCTTTTACATGCGAGCCTTGTAGGGGAATATTCCAGATCAAAACCATAGCAGGTAGGCATCATGATTCATTTAGATAATCCCCCATGGGTGGACACTTAGATTACTTTTATATTTCAAAGTATGCTTCAAGTACACATGAACACACAAGGTACACATCTGTATGGCAGTACATCTAAAAGCATTCAAGAAATTAGAATTGTAGGTAGCAGGCTTTCCATCCATGATCTAGTACTAATTTCTAGGACTTACCACACCTTTTACCCACCATCTATGCACCCCTGCTTCTCTACTAAGTCCTGAAACTTCACTCCATCTTCCTGAAGAATTCACTGTACTCACTAAACAGAAGCACAGGAAAACACCTAAAGATGGTCCAGGGGAGTTATATATACAACAGTAGGATAACCCATGTCAACATTCATCACTGTTGTGCCACACAGACATCAGGCCAATAAAAATGCCCAAACACTTGCTGAGATAAGACACAGAGAGCTATGGTCTGATCTTCACTCTCCAGTAGCTGACAACCAACACTATTCACTACTCAGGAGCCAGAAGAGCTGAGTCTGTAAGCTGGTTTTTCTTCCTGACAGGGTTCTAGTTATCTGAAGTGAAGCTGCCAGCAGCCTGTGAAGCAGACATTGTGTAGATCCTCCCTCTTACTCTGGGATCAGCATGTAGCTGTGTGACTGTGTGGTTACATCACTACACGGTATGAACAGAAGACATTGACTGAATGATGGGTTTCTCTTATTGTCATATACTTCTTCAATCCCAAGTGGGTTTTATTTGCTTCAGTAACAATCTCACATGTGTACTGCTCTGTGTCCAGTGTTCAAGTGACTTTCAAACTGCTTAACTTTGACAATGTAATCCATCTCCATTTCCATATATCCAAAACCAAACCTCACCAAGAGCACTTGGCTTTACTGTGCATGGTATTTTCTGGCATTTTCTAATGTAGTCTATTTTGTTTTGTAAAAGTGCTGCTCTCAACTCCCTTGATTCCACGATCCTTTAATGAGCCATGAATTGTTTCAAAAATATTGCTTTTTATGCCACCCATGGGCTTGACATATAATCCAGGTGTTTACCTGTGTAACAAAAAGCCTCCGCTATCTGCCTGCTGAATTTGTTCTTTCTTTAAAAGTTAAGAGTTCCTCCACCCCAAGTGTACCAAGTATACCGGAAGCAACATCTACCCGAGGCTTTCTCCCTCAGAGCTGCAGGACTGCGCTGTCTTTGCTCCTGGGAGTATCAGGAGTGCACCTGGCGAGGCCATTCTGCTTGATTGTCTGTCACAGCTGGGGAGATGCTTTCCCTGCAGTGTCAAAGGAAAGGAATGAATGCAAATTGGAGCCAGCCCCAGCCAGAAATCCATCTCCCACAGCTGACTGGGCTCCTGACAGGAGGAGGCTTGTGGTGCTGTCACTCAGAGGAGCGATCTGCTGCAGGGAGGAAAGGGAGAAGGTAAGAAAGAGATGCAGACAGACCTGTGTGGGTTCTCCCTTCTCTGTGCCTTCGCCCAATGCAAGGGGAATGAGCTCACACTTGGAATTAAGTAAGTTCAGTTCCAGGACATGGGGCAGGGCTGGGAGGCTCACATGGTTAAAGGAATCACCTGTGTGTCAGGTCTCTCTCTGGCCCATTACTGTGTGGTCAGTGCAGTACGTACAGTAAGAGCTAACATATGTTCAATGCTTCTTTTGCTTAAGCATTTACAAGCATTCTTCCATGTCAACCTCACATCACCATGCGGTAGATACAATATGGCTCCCAATTATGTGAGTGGGAAGATTGAAGCCTTCATGACTAATCACCATCGTCCAGGCTAGTATGAGATGGAGCCCAGACTAGAGCCCAGGCCTGCACCTACCAGCACCATCATGCATTATCTCTAGATTATAAATGGGAAAACAACTCCGAAACATTAAGTCAAAGCTAAGAGGTGATGGAACCTAGATCCACACAAACTTTACCTTGGCACCAGGGCCATGTTCTTTTATCAAAACCTCTCAGCTCTGCGGAGTTCACAGTGAACTGGAGGAATATAAGGGGGATGCGGTTTCTAATGCAAGCTTGAGTACATTAGGAAGGAAGAACCAGGGTGACTAACAAAGAATCCTGTCTTGTTTGGTTAACTCTCGACCAGTTTGCTGAGATGGAGAATGAGAAGAGTAAGTCTCCCAGAAATGATTTCCTGCCTTAGGGGGAATAACCACCTAAGCTGGAGGACCCCTCAGGACTCCTTAAAGACCAAAACAAAGTCTCAGTAAGGGCAAACTTGAATCTTTTAACTACCTGCTTTATAAGAGGTCAAGAAAAACATTACATTTGTTGCACATAAATAAACAGAGGTAAACTGGCTGTGGGCAAGAGCCATGCTATGTGGTTCTTCAATACTCAGCACCCAGTTCCTGCCCCACTGTTAGACTGTAAGCCTCCCAAAGGAATTTCTAGTGTCAGGGAAGCACACCTTTAATCCCAGCACTCAGGAGGCAGAGCCAGACAGATCTCTATGAGTTCGAGGCCAGCCTGGGCTACCAAGTGAGTTCCAGGAAAGGCGCAAAGCTACACAGAGAAACCTTGTCTTGAAAAACCAAAAAATAAATAAATAAATAAATAAATAAATAAATTGGAAAAAGAAGAGTGGCCTCTGGCAACCCCACTACAGGGTCTAAGTAATCATTGTAGTAGTTGTTATTATCACAGTCAGTTAATTTATAGGAGAATTCTAGAATCATTGCCTCAACAGGAATTTAATTCTTAGGCAACTTCTAAGCTTTAATTTTTATTCTATGTGTCTAGATGTTTTGTCTGTATGTATTGTACACAGCCCAGTACCCTTGGAGGTCAGAAAGTGGCATCAGATCCCCTGGAACAGGACGTACAGATGATCGTGCTGGGAACCAAACCTGGGTCCTTTGCAAGAGCAACAAATGCTGAACCATCTCTCAAGCCCCAGGAGCTGAATTCTGATGCTAATGACTTGGGAACTTATTGTTCTATATTAGGAAAGTCATAGCAATGGCCTTTGTATGTAATGACCTCTGTATAATGACCTCACTACACCATGAGGTCTTTTAGGACAGTGACTGCGCCCATCATGCTCATTATGGTAGCGGCTCCTCAACACAGCACCTGTCACACCATAGATGTTCAATAAACATTCCATGCCAAGTGAAGCTGTCAGTCTTGTTGCGTTCAAACAGAAAAATCACAGCTGGCAAACACCACACATCTGTTTATAAATTTGAGTCTAAAAGAATCAAGGCTTTGGTGGATGCGTATTGTCCCACATCTCTAGTAGGTAAGTGTAGCACTGATGATTAAATGACTCACAGTAGCCCAAAGCTAGCCACACTGGCTCTTTTCTCTAAAAAATTAAGAGTCCCATGGGTCCCTTCTCCCTTTGCTTGCTTTGATGCTCTTACAGCTGAAAATTTGCATGCATGGACAAAGGAGATATATAGTTCTCAGAACTGGAGTCACTACTGCTTCTGTATAAATTCATGCCACCCCACCCCCACCCAGGCCACACTCTGGCTGCCCAAACAAGATCAGTGTAACGGTAACAGCAGTGGCCAATGAGAACAGTAGATACTCCACATGATCCCACCCCCGATGAAGACCATCAATGGCTGCTGAGAGGGAGAGTTCATTTCCTCCAGGAATGAGTTCCTCAATGAGATGTCCAATCCCAAATGGTCAGTCTTGGATACATGCACATATGGACAACGCTAATTGTACTCTACTCAGTAGGTGTAACATACACACGTACGTACGTACGTACGTACGTACGTACACATAACAATAATAATTAAAGAAGAGAATTGGGGAGAGGAACATGGGAGAAATTTGAGAGGGGAGGAGAGGTGTGGGTGATGGAGATACAGTGTTATGTAGGAAGTTCTCAAAAATAAAATAAAAAAGATCAGTCAAGAAGACTGTCCACTTGCTCTAGTTATTGACCTATCTTGTGGTACAGGGTCAAGTGAAAATGGGACTAAAAATGGAAAAGAAAACATGATGATAAAATAGGGCAAAGGTGTTAATTGGAATGAAAGACTCTGACAAAGACTCAAGCAAGGTGCTTGTCTTTAAAAGGATCCCAAGTACAGTGGCCAGGAAGTGAAAACAAAACCACACACAGCCCTGGGGCCTCATGTTTTAGTTTCTAGTTTTACATTCATGAGAAAGAAAAAAAAAAAACAGGTAAAATTAAATGTGGGTCTCAGCATTACCAGTTAAATAGAAAAAGAAATTCAAATGTATCCATTAAGAATTATGACCATAGTGAGATAATACTTTACACCATTAGGGTGATACTTACCCAGAATAGGAAATAATAAGTGTTGGCTAGTCTATGGAGAAAATAGAACCCTGGTAGTAATGTAAAAGAAGTTGCTGCTATAAATTTGGTGGAAAAGAGTTTGACAGTACTATAAGACTATATAACCGCCGGGCGGTAGTGGCGCACGCCTTTAATCCCAGCACTCGGGAGGCAGAAGCAGGCAGATCTCTGTGAGTTCAAGGCCACCCTGGGCTATAGAGTGAGTTCCAGGAAAGGCGCAAAGCTACACAGAGAAACCCTGTCTCAAAAAAAAAAAAAAAAAAAAAAAAAAAGACTAGATAACCCAGCAATTCCACTTCTAGGTAAATATCCAAAAACTGACATTGAAAATTGGAAGTTAGATATCATTCACAGTAATCAAAAGGTAGAAAGGACCCAGGTGTCCATCAACAGATAGGTGAATGAACAAAACATGGCACATACGTACAATGGAACATTATTCAGCCATAAAATGGAAGGGAGCCATGGCACTGGGCTACCTATCACACAGGTGAACCTTGGAAATATTATACTAAGTAAAATAAGGCAGACACAAAGATTCATGTAGTATGAATCCTATTAAGTGAGGTGGGTGCTCAGGCTGGTCAAGTTTAGAGTTAGAAAGAATATAATATAATATAATATAATATAATATAATATAATATAATATAATATAATATAATATAATAGAATATAATAGAATATAATAGAATAGAATAGAATAGAATAGAATAGAATAGAATAGAATAGAATAGAATAGAATAGACTGACCGCTGGGCCATGGGGGAAGGAGACCAGTACTTATTGTTAGCCTTGTAGACTGTGATGGCTGATCTTCATTGTCAATCTGATGGGGCTTAACATCGTATCTTCTGGACCCTCCCATTCTAGAGGAATAGGTTTTTGCAGCAAACCTGCTCCAGCAAGCCAAACAGTATTCAGGGTATCAATGGCAGAAGGGGATGCTGTTTGGAGCCTTTGGCAACCTCCATACAAGGATCACAGTGGAGGCCCATGGATTTTAGAGAAAGGCCCTGCTGTTATCTGTAGACAATTAGTCATCTATTGAGAAACAGACCTCGGCTTTCCATTGGGCATTAGCAGAAACTGGACGCTTGACAGTATGCTACTTGATTACCATGCAAGTTGAGTTGGATGGCATTTGACACAACATAACGTTGGATATGCACAGCAGCAATCCCTCATAAAATGGAAGTGGTATCTATGAGTCACTAGACTGAGAAAGGGGTTTCAGTGTCAGTGGGGGTGACTGATCCAGACTACTGAAGGCCACTGAACTGCTTCTCCATGATGGAGGTAGGAAGAGTATATCTGGAGTGCCAAAGATCCTGTAGGACATGTATCAGTTATCTGTCTCATTTCTGTGATCAAACACCTGGAAAAGAGCAATTTAATGGAGAAAGTGTACTTTGGCTCATGATTGTAGCTAGAATTTTCTTTGGGCCACCAACCAGTTCCCAAATAAAGACACAGAAACTTATTATTAGTTATGAATGCTCTGCCTTAGCTTAGGCTTGTCCCACTAGCTCTTTTAACTTAACTTAAGCTGTTTCTCTTCATCTACATTTTGCCTTGGGGCCTTTTACCTTTCTTTCATTCTGTATGTCCTACTTCCTCCATGTCTGTCTGAATGGCCCCTGATCTCCTTTTCTTTCCTCCTCAAACCTAGATTCCTTCTCCTACTTTCTCTCCCTGCCCAGAAGTCCCGCCTATACCTCCTCCCTCGCTATTGGCCCTTCAGCTTTTTATTAGACCAATCAGGTGCCTTAGGCAGGCAAGGCAAAACAGCAACACATGTTTACATAATTAAACAAATGCAACACACCTTTGCATAGTTAAACAAAAGATTTAAGGGTGCAGTGAGTGAGTAATGGCAGAGAAGGTGTCCTAGCAGAAGCTTAAGGCATCTGGTCACATTGGGTCCACGGTCAAGATGAAGAGAGAGATGTGAATGCTGGCAGTCAGCTTGTTTTGGTTTTTCTTTTCATTCCGAGTTAGACCCAGGCCATGGGGTGGTGACACCCACACCAAGAATTGGCCTCAAACAGCCTCATCTCACAGACAAACCTAGAAGGGCTGTGGGGTAGGTGGTGTTAAAGCTAGTCAATCTGGCAGTGAAAATGAGTCATCACAGTGCATCTCTTAGAGACACCACGCCCTTCAGTTAAAGTCCATGGAAACCACAGCTCTGTCTAGGCATAATGAGAAACAGCTCAGACCCTTCAGGAATGAAGGTGTGGATCTCCCCTCCCGTAAAGAGTAACGCTGCTAACGTGCATGCTGAGGGTAGGAGAATATGGAACGGGTAGTGAAGAGTAATTATAAATGTTCACTAAGGACACATGACCCATTACAAAACAAGGATTCTAATTGTCATGTGTGTTTCTTTCTTACTTGTTAAGAATATGTTTGTGAATATTTACATATATTATTTGCATATATTAAGCCTGTAAATATGTTTTTTTGCCTTTCCTATGCTTGCCATAGAACACAATGTTGATTGAGTCAATATCAGCATTTACCTGTTGTTCAGTCTGTATCATTGTGTATAAACTGTGGGATATTAAAACAGTAAGCATTCCTCAGGGGACTTTCTATTTTGAGAGAATTAGCATACTTTTTGTTCAGGATGGGATATTTATTTGGGGCTAAGTGGAATTATGACCCTGTTATTGTCTTTATTGGAATCTGATCATGGTATAAGGAGATAGGGTTGGGTGTCAAGTCGCCAAGGAGTGGACTTGTGAAAGTTGGTTTTGATGGTCAACTAGGCAGTGTTTAGTATCACTTAGGAGTCCCCACCTCTGAGCTTGTGTCTCCAGAGAAGATTAGCTTGGGGAGAATACACATCCTCAAGGTGAGCGACACCTTCCAATGGACAGCGCAGCTATGAGGAGGTCCAGGGAAAAGGCAGCACATGCCTGCCTTTGTGGATTTTTTCTGAATGAGTGTCTACCACCGTTGGTCACCATCCAACATCCTCCACTGACATCACATTCCAGCTTCTTCAGCCTTTCAACATGGACATGGTATCAGTGACTTCAAGGGGGTTTCCAGCCTATCAGCACTGGATTGGGACTGCTGAAACATCCAGGTTCATAGACTGTCTACTGGGTTCTCAGCCCCTGCGGTGTGCAGATGGCTAAGGTTGGATTACCTAGCTTCCATTATTTAAGGCAATCTCTGTCTGTCTGTCTGTCTGTCTGTCTATCTGTGTGTGTGTGTGTGTGTGTGTGTGTGTGTGTGTGTGTCCTTCTCCCTCCCTCAGTTCTGTTCATTTAGATAAGTCTACTTAATAGATGGGTATAAAGTTTTCCTTTAGAATGATACAAATTTCCTGGCAATGAATAGAGGTGATAGTTATACACTATTGTGTGAATATACTTAATGCCAGTGAACTTTTCACTAAAAATAGGTAAACAATACAGTATGTGCAACTCAATACAAACACATGCTGATGCCTGTGATTATAGTAATTATACTCACAGTACTGCACCACCAGTACCTCCAGCTGTCTCCTGATGCTACCCATCTCCTACAGCACAGAGCTGGGAAAGTGGATGTGCCAATTCTGCCCGGCAACTCAGTCGACTTAGAATACCTGCCTTTACCAACAAACTAGGTGAGGTGGGAGCTGCCCAGGTCAATTCCTTCCTGTTGAGCCAGGCCTGTGGATGGGGTGTTCATGTCAATGTCTGGCTTCCTACTTGTGGTATTGTGTTTCCTTGTGGAGTTTGGAGATGGGAGTTACCTTGGGCTCCCTGAACTCATCTTCTATCATATTAAAATGATAGGTGGGAAGCAGGCAACCGCTGCTTCATGTTAGCT